TCAGGGTCTCATGCAGACCCCGTGTGTGACAGCACAGGGGTCCACCCCTCACGGTCTCACACACAAACCCCACATGTAACAGTGCAGAGGTCCACTGCTCAGTGATTCATGCAGACCCTGTGTGTGACAGCACAGAGGTCCACCCCTCACTCACACACAAACCCCACATGTAACAGTGCAGAGGTCCACTGCTCAGTGATTCATGCAGACCCCGTGTGTGGCAGTGCACAGGTCCACTCCTTGGGGTCTCACACTGACACAGCACAGAGTTCTGCTCCTCAGTGACTCACGCAGACCCCATGTGTGACAGCGCAGAGGTCCACCCCTCAGGGTCTCAGGCAGACACAGCACTGACTTCCGCTCTACTGGGTTTCAAAGGCTGATTTTTTTTTTTAAGCAACTTGCTCGGCCTTTCTTCTGAGGTATCTCTGGGTGGACTTGAACCCCCAACATTTAGTTAAGAGGTGAAGGTTTGACCATCTGAGCCATCCATGGACTACTCAAATGGTCCCCTGAAGAACAAGCCCATTGCTGTGGGGTCAGTGCTAACTCGCAGCAAGCCCATAGGACAGAGGAGAACTGCCTGAGGTCCGAAAGGCTGTGAAGATTACAGACGGAGCTCTGAGGGTTGCACTGTGAACCCAAAAGCAGCACGTCGCTTGTGATCCAACCCACACGTGGCTCTACTGAAGAAATCTGGCCAATCTCCTCCTGTATGATCTGCAGCTTCTGAAAACCCTCTTGGAGGGTCAGCTGTGAGCCGATTCATTCAACAGCAATGAGTCTGAGAAGGTTTGATTCTTTACGGGAGCAGATTGTTATATCTTTCCTGGCAGAGCAGCAGGTGGGTTTGAACTACTGATCTTTTGGTTCATTGCTGCATTTTTAACCACTGTGCCAATGCCATCAGTCCCAAGTAGCCCCAGTCTCCCTCTAACATGGGCTGTGATGACAGACAATTGAGTCTGTTCAAAATGTGGATGAGCAAGAGCAAACCAGTGGGAGGGAGAGGTCCAAGGTCAAGTCCAGATGCCCATTCTCCGACAAGCCCCAGCTGGAATGTGCCCAGCACTCCACACCAGGGCTAGGACAGATGGCATCTGCAAGTCGAGCACCAGCCATTCCGCTGGGCTCCCAAAGGCCTGGAATAAACATAGTTAAAGTAAGGCAGGCAAGCCAAGCTACCTGGTCCTGGAGTTTCTGGAACATCAGAGGGTGTGGTTCTTCCAGAATCTTCTCATTGAGCCTGGACTGGCCCTCCACATTGACTTGGGATGAGGCTTTACTGGACAGGAAGGTGTTGTAGATCTCCTTGGCCTTTTCCTGCATCTGGAGGAGACATGGGGAGTTTATTTGTTATCTGTGAGCACCTCCTTCCCACTGCAGGCAGGCGGGACCCAGGAGAATCTGGCAGGGTGAGTGAGGAGCAGCCCTGGAGCCCTGGGCTCCCCTGCTCTCCCCAGCTAAGCTCTAACTGGGAGGGACCTAGTCAGCCTACCTCTCAGCCCACTCCCCCCACCCACAATTGCCACTCTGCCCATTCAGTAAGGACAAGAGAATGAAGTCATGAATCCTTCCATTTACGACTTCTGGGATATCAAACAGCCATAAAAGAAAGGAATGAAGTACAGTGTGTGCTACAATGTATCCAACTTGAAAACATTATGCTAAAATGAAAACACCCGGACACAAAAGGCTACAATATTATATGATTCTATTTATATGAAATATCCAAACCTAAACCCAGTGTCAGAAAGTTGAGTAGAATCAGTGACTGATTCCGTGCATTTGAGATACAAAGTTCCTTCAGGTTTTGTGGCATGCCAGCCTTCCAGAGAGGGAGTTCTGTCAGCCCCAAATAGGCCCAGTCTCCCTCTAACAGGGACTATGATTGAGTCTGTTCAAAATGTGGATGAGCAAAAGCAAACCAGTGCACTTCAGTGACAACCTGACAAGCTGGCAGTGGTTTTGCTCTATTGGATCCCACAACCGATGCCCATGGACTCAAAAGGAAAAACCCCCAAACCCTCACTGTGGCTGAGTCGTCCTGACTCCTAGCTCCCTTCGGCTCTCCAGGGCCATAAATAATAAGGAAAGGTGGCCGCTCATCTTGCTCCTTTGGGACAATAGTGGATTTAAAGCACCAGAGACAGAGCCCTGGTGAGCGACACACTCCCTGTGGACTAGGTCACCAAACCGCAGTCCCACTAAGGAGCAGTCAAGAAATCAAACCACAAACTGCACTGGGCTATTGTGCTGCAAAAGACCTCGAGAAAGACTTTCTACGAAGATGAAGCCAAAAGGAAGCCCCTGCCCCTCCCAAAACTGAAGCCAAAGCAAAGACATTAAAAGCCAAGCAGGCAGTCCTGAAGGGCATATACTGCCAAGGGAAAAAAAAGAAGATCCGCACATCACCTACAATCTGGTGGCCTGAGACGCTGAGACTCTGAAGGCAGCCCAAATACCCCTGGAAGAGCGGCCCCAGAAAAAACAAGCTTGACCACTATGCCATCATCAAGTTTCCCCTGACCACTGAGTCAGCCATGAAGAAGACAGAAGATAACAACACTCTTGTATTCATCATGGATGTCAAGGGCAACAAGCACCAAATCAAACAAGCTGTAAAGAAGCTCTATGACATTGATGTAGCCAATGTCAACACTTTGATCAGGCCTGATGGAGAGAAGAAGGCCTATGTTCAACTTGCTCCTGACCATGATGCTTTGGATGTTGCCAACAAAACTGGGATCATCTAAACTGAGTCCAGCTGGCTAATTTTAAATACAAATTTTTCTCACCATAAAGGAAGCACTGAAATGAAACAGAAATGTCACTCTGAGAATGCAGGCACAGTGGACCCAAGCCACAATACTTTCAGATGCATGTGAGAGGCGGGAAATGAATAAGAAGAACTGATGTCTTTAAATTGTGTTGGCAAAAAATGCATAGACTTCCAGAAGAACAAACAAGCTGCCTTGGCAGAAGTATGTCCAGGATGCTCCTTAGAAACAAAGATGGTAAGATTTTAGACACATTTAGACACCTCAGACCTTTAAACACTCAATTGTGACACATCACCAGGAAAGGCCAATTGCTAGAGAAGGACATCATGGCTGTTAAAGCGGAGGGTCAGCTGAAACCACAAGGACCATATGGTGTCCAGCTACCACTGTTGATTTCTCTACAAGGGATCACAGTAGAATATTGGGGATAAAGTGGAGGGAAGTATAGAACAAAACTTGAAAAAAGTTAAAGCCAGGCTTAGTAATCTGATAGAGACCGGTGGAACCTCTGAGACCTTCACTCACTCTTCAAACCAGACAAAACTCTCAACTTTCAGACAAACAACAGACAGGCCTGTCAGGTGTCCAATAACACTAGGTAGGCCCTCCTCGGTCCTTACAATAACTCATCACACCAGGTAAAAAAACCTAGCTGCATTTGCCAAGGGATAAAGCCGTGAAGGCAGGAAGGGGTTGGAAAGAAGGATTCATAGAAATTAGAATCACAGACAGGAAGTAGGAAAAGTGTGATTACATTATGAGTATTGTAACTAATATTATAAAGCAAAATGTATATTTAAAAAATCCCAATTTGCTTTGTAAATTTGCATTCAAATGATAATAAGAAACGTTGACAGGAGAAGAATGAAGCAGAGGGCCAGGGAAAGGGGGAAGGCCCTCAGTGATTGAACTAATAGCAAAAACAATGGATGGAAACTCAACATGAGCATGAAGATGCAAGACCTGGCGTGTTTCAGTCTGTTACACAGGAATGAGCAGACGTCGGTGCCACAGCAACAACCGGGAGAGCAGGAGACCTCTGAGGGGTTGTAGGTTCGGTTCCAGGTCACAGCAATAAAGTGAACATCGGAACAAGGTAAGACACATAAGGTTTTGGTTGACCAGACCGTACAAAAGTCCAGCTCACATTATGCTGTTGTCTACTGAGTATGAAAAAGCATAATCAAAAAGTTGGAGATACTGTGGCCTGACCAGTCTGTGACACAGCAACAGAAAGTGTGCACCAGCTGTTGGAAAATGGTGCCTGAAGACTTTGTCCCGTCGGGGCTGTCAGATCTGCAGCTTGTAAGAAACACAGTTATCTGTGGCCATAAAGAGAAGTACAGTAAAACAAGGGCGGCCCTGAAGGACAGCGTGCAGTCCTGACGGGGAACCCAGACCTTCGGTTCCAGCCGCCTTGATGGTCAAGTGAGCAGATCTGAAAAGCTGAGATCACGTCTGCGTCCTCTTCTGTGTCCTCTTCTCATTCCTCTATGGCCAGCTCGGTAGCTCTGAGAGCAGGAACTGCACTGTGGCCACATGGCAGCACTGATGGAAGGACGGCACTGACCCGACGGCAGCACTGATGGAAGGACGGCGCTGACCCGACGGCAGTGGGCTGGAGGCAGCGAGCTCGGGTGAGTGCCATGGGAAGAGGAGCCACGCTCAGCACCCATCTGGTCTCCAGGCCTCCAGGAAACTCTGCATTCCTTTAGGGAAGGCAGGCTTCCCACATTCACTCGCCTCACCAGCACAGACAAGCTCTCCTGTAGAGGAAGTGGCCTGGCAGGTCTGTGAAGCAGAGTGATGGCTTCTGGGAGGCTGGGGACCCAGGAGCCCCGGAGGAAATACTTCTCTGCAGAAATCTCAGCTTAGAAACCCTCTGAATTTATGGAAACTGCCAGAAGGTTTAGTGCTTGGTACTTAAAAGCTGGAGAAAGGAAAAAGCAGTCCTTTCAAAAAGTCCCCTTGAGTCCCACACCTGCCTGTCTCCCAATCTCTTAAGAAAACAAGCCTGGCCCACGGTTGCCCACCTCTGAGAGCTGCCCAGGTCCAGCACCAGAGGGTCTGTGGTCAACCGACAATCAGCGTGAATAGTCAACAGATGCCAGACTCAGCATGGACATTCCAGAGACAAGCGTGGGAACCTCGGCTGAGACAGAGGGGACAGCTCTGTGCACTGCTGGTTCCCCGGCAAGCCCAGAAGTCCAGGGTCTCCTTACTCCTCCCTCATCCTGTCAAGAAGGAACTTTTCTTTTCTTTTCTTTAAACCACTTCCTGTTTCAAGGCCCACTTCATGAAAGCAAAATTTCAGCAGGTAAAAGCAATACACTCCATGTAAGGGGAAATTCAGCATCGATCATTCTGGATATTCTTACAACAAAAAAGGTCACAACCTGAACAGCTGGTGGACCAATTTTAATTCATTTGTATTTCTTGGAATGTCTTCCAGATATGTAAACAGTAGTAACATGTATATGGCGTGTGGGTGTCTAAGTGATAAGGAAATCCACTGCCAACACAAAGGTACGTGGTTCAAATCCACCAGCTGCTCCATGGGAGAAAGATGGGTGTCTCCTCCACGTGATTTACTGCTTCTGAAAACCCACTGGAGGGGCAGCTGTGGGTCGGTTCTGACTCAGCTGTAAACAACAATGACAAAGTGTATAATAAGAACTTCTGTAATTGTATATAGACCTTAATGCGTCTTCCCCTCAAGATGCTTTACTGTGACAAATTCCCTGCTGTCAAGTGGAGTCTGACTCCTGGTGAGCCTCCAGCTGGTCTCTGAGGCTGTAAATCTTCATGGGAGCAGAGTTACCAGCATTCTCCCTTGGGACAGCAGGTGGATTGAACCCTCAACCTTTCAGTTAGCAGCCCAAGGTATTTATACACTATGCCACCAGGGGCCTTGTGTCTGAGGATAAATTATTAAATAAATCCATAATCAGTTGACTTTTTTTTCTTTTCATTTTTATGGAAATCCAGGCTACCCTTAGTAGTTCTAAAAAGGAGTCTAGGGAGTAACTTAGAATTCCTCTCGCTCACTCATGGCCACAGAGTCCATTCTGAGGTTGTAAAGCGCATGTCAGGATTCTGCCCATCTTTCTCCCTTGGTGCCACGCAGAGATTTGAACCATCAAAGAGGTGCTGGATTTGGGTTAGTAGCACAACTTCCTAGGGACTATGCCACCCACCTAACTGTTACAGTTAACAAGCTTGACTGCTAACTGAAACCTTGAGAAGTTCAATGCCACCCTAAGGCTTAGTGATTTACTCCCCCAGATCCAGCCATTAAAACCCAAAATGTGTATACGAGGATCCGAGGGGAGGAAGGCAGGAGCAGAGGGGTGAGGATGGACAGGGGGGTCATCATAGGGCCGCACAATCTCACGGGTAGAGGAAAGGGTGGGTAAAGGAGACAGGGAAGATCCAGTGTGAAAAACAATGTAGACAAACTTTGTGAGCAAACCAGTATGAAATGAAAATTTTATTTAAAAAAAAATGCAAAATTCTAGGCCCACCAAAAATATTAAAATATCAGAG